TATAACTCCTCTCTGGACAATGAGAGAATTTGAAATTTCCTACAATTGCTCCAGACAGTTGTTCCTTGCAAGGCCACAAGAAAGAAATCTCTGGCAGGTTTTGAATTCCAGGAAATGAAAGATTGTCCATCTTGCTCAAACCATGGTCAGTGCCATAGAAAGGACACTAGGTTTGCACACTTCCTTTTCTAATCACTTTCAGAAATTGCTTGTTTACTGTTTTTCAGCTATTAAAAACCTTTCTATCAACAAGTTACACCACCAGGTGAGCTTCCTTCAATTTATATTTAAGAAATTTTAAATACAAGTTCAAGAACTTAATTTTTTAAGATAAACAGCAGAAGGATTATTAGAATCATGATTTTGGAAAATTAAAAATGGACTAAGGCTTCAAATGGAATAAATCTGAAAGAAGTTTTTGAAATCAATTATAAGAATCCTTCCTGTGGTAAAATGCTTTTGATTTTTTTTCTTAAAAATCATAAATAGTATGTGACTTTGAGGGTTGAACACTATAGGGAATTAGAAGGGACTAAAGATTACAATTAAAAGAGAAAATTTACATTTTGCTTACTAATACAGAATGGAATGAAATATTTTAACATTGAGTATACTGAAGGATATTTGGAATTATGGACCCAGAAATTAATTTTGAGAATGTTAGTTCTATAGAAAGATTGTGTTTAAAAGATGTTATGGAAGAGGAACAAGTTTTGCCAGCAAGACTTAGACTCATCTTAATGTGGATTTAAAAATAATAGGCTACAAAATAATGTGGAAAAAGATGCAATGCTGGACAGAGAAAAGAAGAAATAAAGAAAATGATCAGAATAATTTTCCTATATTGAATTTACAAAAGAAGCTTGTTAAAGCTTTGAGTAATTTTTTGAGAAGGAATAAAGAAAATATGAAAATAAATCAACTTTTAGAACATTATTTGAAGAGGACTAAATATTAAGATTGTTAAAAGTAAAAAGAAGGAATATGAAGTTTATTTGATCAATGTTAAAAAAATATGTTATCTCTGGTAACCCTTAATGGACTTTTGCCATCAAGACTGAAATGATAAGGTTTTAAGGCATTGTTTGTAAGTAACTAAGATATGAATAAGCAAATACTGTAGGATATAGAAAGAAGAGATAGTTTGTTGTATTTTAAAGGTGATAATGTTGTGTTGAAGGGGGGAAGTAATTTCTGTCAATACATTTCTGTCCAGTAATATTTATCCTGACTTTCTCTTCCTTTAATTTCATACCATTATCTTTGTTTCTCACTTCGTTTAATGGAGACATTAACATATCTTCATATACACAGTAGATTTTAGATTTGCTTTTCTTACTGTCTGTGGTATTGTTCCCAATCCTTCAGCAATTTCCATGGCTTTTTTCATTTGCATTTCAGAAAGCATTGATCCCATGGAAAACACCACAACTCCATCTTCACCAGATTTCTCCAACATGCTTTCAAACTCCTATCAAAATAAAATTTCAAAGATAAGTTATTTGAAACCGTTTGAACAGAATCTCCCATCTTAATAGGTGACTAAAAAGAAAATAACAATTGATGTGCAAATAATTTAGCAAAGAGTTAAACACAATAATTCAAAGATAAGAATTAAAAAAAAAGAATAACTTATTTGAAATATAAATCACAACACACAAAATTTATAGTAACCAAATTATGTTTGTCTAGTCAATGTTCAAGTGCCTAATAGTCATCTTTCATTAATTAAAACACATTCTTCATTTTCTATACCAACTACAGAATTTAATATTATAAAAGTCCAATATTTAAAATTTATAGCCGATATTTTAATAATCTATGTTGCAAGCATCAGATGGCTTAACTACATTTTACAGTTCAGAAACATACTATATATTTCCAGATATAATTTTTGTCTGATCTTCACAATTATTGGAAAGAGCCTTTTTCAGAATTCTTAAGTAGCTAATCATTAGTAATCTAGTTCTTAATTCTCCAAACCCTACACAAGTCTATTTGTGTTCCATTCATTTATTTCTCTTCTTTTGCTTCTGAATAAAGCTGCATAAATTAAATAAATATGATTTTAAAAGTATTTACTGGAATAATATTGCTTTTGTTTGTAAAACATGCTTAACCGGGCCAGTTTACACAATTATCACATTCTTTCATACTATGGCAAATAGCACTTGATAGTTTGGTATTGACTGTCTCACTTTTGTCAAAATATTTAATCCTAATTTGACACTTTGAAAAATATATATGATTATAAAAAATAAAAAAACAACCTGTGTTAATGGCTTCTCCTTTGCACAGTTTATACCTCCAATTAAAATCATATTTGGCATGATAGGCCTTGGATATTCAAATATGAAGTCATAGCGAAAAAGCCAAATTGAAGCTTGGCTATATAGCTCCACTACTGTCATATCTCGATGCAGGAATTCCTTGATCAAATCTTCAAATGGTGAGTAAATTAAGTAACACACCATTGATTGAAATGAGCCAAACAAAAAATTTTTTACTCGTTGATTAAATGTCATATGATCAGTACTGCCTGTAAAGAATTTGGGGATATAGGAAAGTGGGTTTGGACACTTAGTCGCCTCAGAATCTAAACCACATAGAAGTCCACGTGAGTAGAAAACAGAAGGAATGGATAAGTATTCAGCCACAATTTGACCACATGGAGACATTGGATCCATAAGTACAACATTGAATTTGCTATCTTGAAGGTAAGTAATCAAATCTTTGTTGTACAAAAGTTGTTTGCAATTATTTAAGTATATCATTGTAATATTCTTTATTCTTGCAAATGTCTCAGTAATTCTTGCCAGGAAAGGCTGATGTACAAAAACCTTATAACCCAATTTCTGAACTTGTGTTCTCAAATATTCCGTTGAATAGGGTACAGCAAATGTTTTCACTGTGTAATGATCAGATGGTTTTATCAGCAAATTAGCATCAGGAACCACAGCTGTTACTTGATGTCCTCTGTGATGAAGGCGTTCCATAACTGGTTGAATACTGAGCCAGTGACTGCCATCCACAGGTATTACCAACACCTTTCCTCCATCTGAAAGTTTCAAGAAAAGAATTGTAAGTAAAAACCATGTAGCTTGCTGGCAAATATAATGAAGCATAGAATTCTTCTTTTTAATTACGCTGAATTTTAATCCAAAGGTGAATGAATGTAAATAACCCATTGTTCTTTACATGAACATATCAAACAGAACTGACTTGAGCCTTCCACTTTTCCTTTTCTGTAAATATTCAATTTCTTCTGCAATAAGAAGTGTAATGGAACTTTAAAACCCGGTCAAAGGTTGATTCAGTAAACAAACTTTAACAGATTTGCAAAATAACTGACTTGCTGCAAATGCAGCAATACATTTTGAAAAAAAGTTCTGAAGGGGCTGGCAGATGTTATCTAAGAACCATTGTACCATCTTTCAAAAATCCTGGAACACTGGGGAATTTCCTGATGATTGGAAAAGAGCAGATGTGGTTCCCATCTTCAAAAAAAAAAAGAAGAAGGGGGAGGGGCACAGTCCCAGGAAACTACAGACAATGAGCTTTACATCAATACCTGGGAAGATACCGCAAAAGATAATCAAAAAACAGATGTGTGAACTTCTAGAAACAAATAAAATTATAACTAAAAACCAGCATGGGTTTGTTAAAAAGAGATCCTGCCAAACCAATTTTATTTGAATGATCAAATTAGTAGACCAGCAAAATACTATGAGCATAGTATATTTAAACTTCATCAAGGCATTTGACAAAGTAGACTACAGTCTACTTCTTGGTAAGCTAAAAAAAATGTGGGATAGACAGCATCACCACCAGATGAATTTGTAATTGGCTGACAAACCATACTCAACAAGTAGTCCTTAATGTACCATATCTACATAGAGGGAAATAAGTAGTAGGGTACCACAAGGTTCTGTCTTAAGCCCAATACTCTTCAATATCTTCATAAATGATTTAGATAAGGCAATAGAAGGGGAAGTCATCAAATTTGCAGATGACATTAAGCTGGCAAAACTAGCCAACACCCCAGAAGACATGCTTGGAATCCAAAAAGATCTTGACAGACTTGAACAATGGGCCCTATCCAAAAAAAATGTAATTTAATGTGGAAAAAAGGGTTTTACACATACACAAGAAAAACCAAAGGTACAAGTACAGATTAGGCAAACCTGGCTTAAAAACCGTAATAACTTTGAGAGGGACCTTGGAGTCCTAATGGATGATCACTTAAAACGTGAGTCAGCAGTGTATGGCAGCAGCTAAAAAGGTAATATAATCCTTGGTTGTATAAACAGAGAATCAAAATCACATGAAGTATTAGTACTGCTCTATAAAGCCTTGGTAAGGCCATACCTGGAATATTGCATCCAATTTTGGTCACCACATAATGAAAAGAAGGACTAGAGGGACATGATAGCAGTATTCCAGTATTTGTGAGGTTGCCACAAAAAGGAAGGGGTCAATTATTTTTCAAAGCACCAGGCAGGACAAGAAACAATGGATGTTTACCTATGGTGTGTACAATTAACTATGAGGTTAGAAACTAATCAAGAAGAGAAGCAACCTGAAATTAAGGAGAAACTTCTTAACAGTGAGAACATCCACCAATGGAACAGCTTGCCATCAGAAGTTGTGGGTGCTTCATCACTGAAGGTTTTTTTAGAAGAAACTGCACAGTCACTTGTCTGAAATGATATAGGGTCTCCTGTTTGAGCAGTGGGTTGGACTAGAAAACCTCAAAGACCTTCCAGCTCTATTCTGATTGATTGAAAAAGACAGGATCAGTCTTTTGTGATGCCAAGGGAAAAAAAATAACCTTGCAGCATTCATTGACATAATTTTTGCAATCATGAGATAAAATGATTAACTATGAGGTTAGAATTTGTTCAGGGAGGTTTGATGAATAACAGGGACTACTTATTTGTCAAAATCCTTCATTAACCACAAACCATTTGTTTAAGAATTCACAGGTTTCTTATATGCACCTTTCATCAATCAGAAGACTCTCCATGCTTTACATGGAGCTCCCTTTGAAGAAAATCTGGAATCTACAGCTGGTACAAAACAATAGGGTAACAGAGTTGAAGGGACCTAGTCCAACACTCTGCACAAGCAGGAGACTCTGTACCATTTCAGACAAAGGTTGACAAGTCTGTTCTTAAAAGCCTCCAATGATGGAGCACCCACAATTTCTGAAGGAAACTATTCCACTGGTTTGTTGTTCTCACTGTCAGGAAAGTTCTCCTTAGTTCTAGGTTGTTTCTCTCCTTGATTTTCCATCCATTGTTTGATTCATTTTAATCCATTGCTTCTGGTCTTGCCTTGTGGTGTTTTGGGAACAATAAACCAGTGGAACGACTTGCCTTCAGAAGATGTGGGTGCTCCATCACTGGAGGCTTTTAAGAACAGATTGGACAATCTTTGTTGATCCCCTATCCTTTGTGGCAGGCCCTCAAATATTGGAACACTACTATCATGTTGCCCTAATCCTTTTTTCCATTGATCCACTTAGTCACTTTGTTAAAGAATAAAATAAGATTTGTTTGGCACAATCTGTTTTTGACAAACCTGTATTGGCTTCTGATTATATCTTTCTTTGTTTCTAGGTGTTTGAGGATCTCTTTTTTGATTATTTTTTCCAGGATCTTCCCAGATATTGATGTCAGGTAATCTGATCAGAGTGTAGGATAAGCCATTTATTCTCTTAGAAAGAACTGTTGTCAAGATGTCTAGAGTTGCTTTGTGATCTGGTTACAGGAGGAAAGATCAAGCATTACAACAATCAAGAAAATATTAACTTAGGTGAAAGTCGATTTTCCTTACTGCTCTGAAATTTATTCAAATGTATTTTTCCTTCATTTGCTGCAATTTTATCCCACTTCTCATATTACTCTTTCCCACAGCAGCCTATTATCAGTTAAAAAATGAGAATGCTGCTGTTCCCAATTTTATAAATTAAAAACAAGATGCAACAAAAGGGAGGAAATAAAAATAGAACAGATAGATATGTTTTATTTCTTATTAGATTTTTATCCTATCTTTATTATTTATTGTATGACTCAGCAAACAAACCTAATACTCCTTCCTCCTCATATTTTCCCCACAACAACCCTGCAAGTTGGGTTGGCTAAGTGATTGACCCAGTCACCTAGCTGGCTTTCATGCCAAAGGCAGGATTAGAACTCACAGTCTGTTGATTTCTATGTCAGCACAGTACCTTATCCACTAGACCAAACAGATCTTACAGGCATTGTGACCCATAAAGTTAGCATTAAATGTTGTAACATTTCATTATTTTAAATAATTAATTGAACATATTTGATTGATGAGCAATAATGACACAAATTTGCCGTGGCTGGGCCCATCCCGCTTTCCAACATCCCCTCCTCCCGGATCCCATTCCCACCCCGCCAGCCCTTGTGTTGGTGAGGCCGGCATCGGTCATGGCCAGGTCGGGCCAGTGTCTCAGGCGGAGAGCAGGTTGCACGTCTCCCCAAGTGACCAGTGCCAACAAGGGCTGGAAGAAGCTCCTGCTTCTCCATCCTCTGCTGTCGCCCTTACCTTCTCAGGTTAGGCAAGGGAGGGGAGGGCAAGGGGCGGGGCCAGCCAGTGATGGGACAGGGAGCCGCAGCAGAGGGTCCAAAGAGCTGTAATTGGCTCTGGAGCCATGGGTTGCCAACACCCGCAGTGAGAAGATCCAAGATCCAACAGAGATGAAAGCCATTAGCCACAATAGGAATTGTCCAACACCCTTTCAGAACAAAAACCCCTTCATTGACCCCTAGAGCAGTCCAATCTTCATCAGGGAGCTCAGATACACAATAAGCCAGAGGTTGACCAGATTAGCTCAGACAAACACCTAGGATTTGCATATCCTCTTTTGCCTAGAGAGCCATCTATGGCCCCTACATGACCCCATAGGAATCTAACAATTGCCAGTAGACTATTAAAGGACATGTTCTTCCACAGGAAAGGAAGCTCAAATAAGAAAGTCAAAAGAAGATACAAAAACCCAACCACTCTCCAACTCCATTTTGTCAGCTGCCCAGAATCACATGCGGTCTGCTTCATCAATAAAACTCTCTTTCCAATCAGCATCCTTGTTTCCAGTGTGTTTCTCCCAGCTTAGAACTGAACCAGATGGATTTTCCTTCCAACAATAGAAAATACCTCTTTTCAATTTGGATCATACCATTTTCTAAATTGTAAGCCTAGGCAAAGGTAGCTATTTTATCTGATACAACTTAGTGTCGATTGTCAGCCCGTTTCTTAGTATCTACTTCATATGGACTTAAGATACATTTTCTCACAGCTGAAACTCTATTCCAGATCGGAAAAAAAAAGGAAAAAAAAAGAAGCATCAGCGGTCTGCCTGACAAATTCATAACATGAGGGGCGCGCCTCTGCATTCACCCTTCCAGCAGTTAGGTCATATTTTAATTTCGCTCCCACGATTCGGTGCTTACGTCATCGCCACTGCTCGTTCGGCCCAATAGGAAGAAAGAAAAGGAGGAGGCGGAGACCTACACGCGCGTTGCCATGGTCGCGAGGTTGGGCAGTAACGAAGGTGGAGGCTCAGTGCGCATGTGCGGTGTACGTAGTACCAGGAGTTTGTCTGGGCCTGGTGAAGGCGAATCTTACCGAAGGCTGCAATGCAGGGCTCCGTGATCCGGCGTACGCAGGAGTTGCTGGGGCGCGTGATTCGAAAACCGCCTCTTACGGAGCGCCTTCTCAGCAAGCCCCCTTTTCGCTACCTGCACGACGTGATCGGGGAGGTCAGGCGAAGCGAAAAAGGCGGGAAAGGGGGAGGCGAGGAAGCGGTCGGTGGTGCTTCCAGTTGCCTGGCAACTCGAGGAGGAAGCCGCAAAAGAGACGCTAAGGAAGGGTTGTGTAAAGAGGTTCCCCAAGCAATTAGACAGGCTTAGAGAGGCGGACGGCATATTTTCTCCATCCCGTTTGGGTTATACGTTCTTCAGTCAATCCCTCAAATGGTTGTTGTAGGTAGAGAAACATGCCTTGGATTGGATCTCAGCCCATCACACAAGGATATAAAAAAAAAGTTGCCTCAGTCTTTGTTAATTAAAAACAGTAGTTGCATGTACAAAGCACGGTAAATTTAGTTATCCTTACCTTTGGGCTCTTGTTCGTAAAAGTCATGTTTTAAATAGATTTGAAATTTCAAGAATAGAGCTATGGCTTTATAGATGAGGAAGCTCAATCAGTATTAACATAAGGGATGCTTTGTCTTTCATCTTTCATGTGTTGAATAAGTTTGGCTTGTTTTTGCTAAAGGCATAGGCCTACCTAGAAGTAAAGGAGAATTGTGTTCTGTACTATACCTTTATACATAGAATTAAATCCTCACCTCACCTCACCTGATGTGAGGATTTAATTCTATGCATAAAGGTAACTATACTAATGAACATTATGTAACATTTGTATTCTATCATATCAAGTATCATTTTCTATTGTCAGGTTTAGGCACAGGGGAAAGAAATTATTTAAGCAAGTATGAAATGCAAAATATTATCTGACTTTGCTCAATGAAGAACTTGGGCTAGTGGCTGAGTTAGAAACCTAATCATATACTTGATTGAGCTAATTGCTTAGTTTTTCTTATGAGTACCAAGCTATTATAGTTTTTAAATAGAACATAACTTGTTTTTATATGATTAATTCAGCCAACTGTGCCTTAACTAATACATTAAAACTACACTAAACCAATACGTTCTGATTGATACATGAATGTTGCACTTCTAATATTTTACAGCATCATGAGTATCCTCTGCAAGTCACCTCACTTTTTGATAAGATGTTAGAATGGATTAATATATATTTATATATCCTTTATGTAATGGCAAAATATCTTTGGAACATTTATTATGGGAATGTTCTTATTTGATTGAAATTACTTATGAGTACTTGTTTAATGCAAGGTGTCATTTAAGATGAAATAAGCCCCAGGAATCAAGAAGGAAAGCAGGTGTCTCTGATTGTCCCAGCTTAAATGTTTCCCTTTGTTAGTATTACAAGTTATAATCAAACTTTCTTCCTTTGTTGGCAGCAAAAGACCAACATAATTGCTTTTACAGGAAGTCTTCCTTGCAACCATCTTCCCTTTTGACATTTTTCACAAATGAAAGGAGCATACAGATAGTCCTTGATATATGCCCACAACTGGGACCAGAATTTCCAGTTGCCAAGCAACCAAATTTTGATCACATGACCATGTAGATCAGGGGTGTCAAACTCATAGCATCACGTCAAGTGACGTATCAAGACTTTCCACCCCTTGGCTAAAATAGGCGTGGCCAGCGTGTGACACATCCAGCCCATGGGCCATGAGTTTGACATTCCTGGTGTAGATGCTGTGACAGTTGTAAGGGCAAGGACTGGTTGTAACTCACATTTTTCAGTGCCATTGTAACTTCAAATGGTGGCTACATGAATGATTGTAAGTCAAGGACTATCTTTACTTATTTGTATTTAATCATTTTAGAAGATAGGTTTTATTTTTCTATTTAAATCAGCTAGTGTTTGGCTAGATTGTTTTACAAAGTTGCTCTACAGAGCCTAAATATAATATAAGAATAGTAGAGAAAGTAGTTATCAGGGGTTCCAAATAATAGACCCACAGCAAGCAGAACCCCGAGGCAGGTAGATTCCTCAAATAATAGCTTTATTGGATATATCATATTGGCATAGATCTGGTGACCTGGAAAGGGGTCAGGCCAGTGCTGCTACGCACTGCATTGTTGTATGCCACCTCAGCGAATAGCAGTAACTGCTCAGTTAGACTGCTGATAGTTGATATAGCACCTTAAGTACTGCTCCACTATAGTGTTTGCATATTCCATGGCCCCATTGGTACTCAGATGAAAAGCTGAGCTAACTTCCTGTGAGGACCCAATGGATCTAACAAACTTCCTCCAGAATTTAGTGGTGAATTGGACTCCCCTGTTGGAAATGATCTTGTGGGGAACACCATGCAACATATAAATATGCTTTATAAAGAGCTTGGCCAGCTTCTTTGCTGATGGGAGCCCAGGAGAAGCTGTGAAGTGAGCTTATTTTGAGAATAAATCTGTCACAGTCCAAATGACCATATTCCCTCCACTTTTAGGGAGCTCAACAATGAAATCCATGGCAATCTCCCAGGGCCTGGATGGGCCTGCCACCTGCTGAAGTAGGCCTGGAGGTTTTCCTGGCCTTCATTGCTGCACAAGTAGCACAGCTCTTGACATAGTCCTCAATGTCCCTTTTCATCTTTGGCCACCAAAACTGCCTTCTGGCTGAATGCAGGGTTTTTAAGTAGCCAAAGTGTCCTGCCTGCTTGGAATCGTGACTGCCAAAGTACTTGGAGTTGCAGGCTCGTGGGCATGTACATCTCTTAGCTTTTGGGACACTCCACCTCCATTTGTAGCTCCTTGCCATCTAGCTTGCCCTCGGATTGCGGCTTGTCAGGCAGGCTAGGAGGGGGGAATCATGGCATGAACCACTTCCTCACGTTTACTATCGTACTATGGCTTGTGATAGAGTATCTGCCAGGGGTTTTTTCTCCTCCATGGATGTACTTTTGAAATACTGTGCCCAGTAAACCTGCTTTGGAGAAAGCTTCGTGGGGTCTTGAGTGCCTCTAGGTTCTTATGGTCAGTTCACACTTCAAACGGAATGTGACTGCTCTCAAGAAAGTGTCTTCAGTTCAATAGGTCCCATCGGATGACATAGGCTTCCTTCTCCCACACAGCCCATCTCTTTTCGGTGTCCATCAACATTTTGGAGGTATATGTGCACGGTTGTAAGTAAGTTACCATTTGGCGTTCTTCTGGAGGAGAACCACTGCAACGACCATGTAGGCTTGGACAACAAAGGGCTGTTCTGGTTCAGGGTGCATGAGGATTGGCTCCTTGGCAAATAGAGCCTTCAGCACCTTGAATGCTTGCTGGCATTGTAAGGTCCAGTTTAGGGGTTGGCTTGGATGTGATTGCTGCCCCCCCCCCCCCCCCCCCCAGTTTTTAGTAGCTTGGTGATAAGTAGGGCAATTTCAGTGAAAGAGGAAATGAATTGCCTATAGAAGTTATAGAACCCCAAAATGTTCTGGAGCTGTTTTCAAGTGCGAGGGAGTTGTCAGTCTAAGACGGCTTTAAGTTTAGCTGGATCCATTTCTACCCCCTTGTTTGACATTCAGTAGCCCAGGTAGTCCAGGCTGGTCTTGTGGAATTTGCATTTTGACAGCTTTGCATATAGCTCAGCCGTGAGGAGTTTTTTCAGCAAATTATTTTTTATACTTTAAAAAGATCTCATTAAATAAAGTTACATTGTGTAGCACTTAACTGAAAAATAAGAATTATTTCAGAAAAACAATATCATAATCAAACTTGTCTGCAAAAATCAGCACAATTATTCGTTTCAAGATTCAGATGCTTTTAAGTGTTATGCAACTGTATTTGTATTTTATATTGTCAAGTTGTACAAAAAGTATATGCATTTGAGAGCTAGTACCATAATAACATTAAAATTATTGCTTTAAAGGTAATTAGATCAACTGGTTTCATGAAAGGATTGTATACAGAAGCAGAGATGAAATCTGATAATGTTAAGGTATGTATGCGCTCATTTTTTTTTAAATTTATAAAATATTTTATAGATGCAATTCTATTATCATTTAATAAAATGTCAGAATTGTACCAAAATGCTATTTTATAAATTAAAATTTATAAATAAAAAAAATTAGTAGGACAATTTACATTGAAAACTGTAGATTTTATTTAACACTATATTATTTTATTCAGGATAAAGATGCTAAAATCATCTTTCTTCAGAAAGCAATTGATGTGGTCATCATGGTGACAGGAGAACATTTGGCAGTGAAACCTGCACGTGTTGTTGCAGGATATGAACCTGAAAAAACAAATGAATTTCTCCAAGCAATTGCTAAATGCTGTCTCAATAAGGTAAGATGTTAGTATTAATTTGTGAAATATTATCTTAACTGGATTTTAAATACAATTTCAAAGACCAGCTGAAAGAGAGGTGGTTTCAGGAGAAAGATTGGACTCAGGAAAAAAGTTGAAATGAGTGTTGCAGGAGAAAATTAAGCTTCTCTTTCTTTATCCAATGTTTTTTCTTTGAAATTCACCATTTGATAGAGGTACACCAGCATGTAAGATCAATTGTCTACAATGCAACATGGAAATAATTCAACCAATAGAATGAACTTTATCTGAAGGATCAAGAATATATTATAATAAGACAACCTTTATTGTCATTTTTTTCTGTGAACACTGGCACACATTAAAAATTCTGATGCCCGCTCTCAAAAGAAAAATGTGTGTGTGTGTGTGTGTGTGTGTGTGTGTGTATACACATACCCATATTGATACATGCACATGCACACACATGGATGCATGCACACACGTGTTCCCTGAAAATAAGACTGGGTTTTATTTTCTTTTGGGTCCCAAAATATATGCCCAAGATGATTTAAAGAAGTATTGCCCAATAAGCCTTCTTTCAGTCATCTACAAGGTTTTCACATAGCAAAAAGAATATTGAGAACATTAAATGATGCACAGCCAAGGAGCAGGCAGGATTCAGAAGTGGCTATAGCACAATGGATCACCTCCAAGTTACTCAGCAAGTCATTGAAAGCCATGAGTATACCCTGCCTTTATGCTTGGCTTTCATTGATGATGAAAAGGTGTTTGACTCAGTATTTTAGCAAGCAATAATTAATGCATTGCTCAACAAAGGCAAAGATACTGCTCACATAAACTTACTACAATCAATATATGAAAAAACAGTGGCAACAATTTGCCTTAATGATCTTAAAGTGGAAATCAACATAGAACAAGGTGTATGACAAGGCAATACAATATAACCTATCCTTTTCTCATCCTGCTTTGAAGAAGTATTTCACAAACTAGTCTGGGCAAAAGAGGAAATAAAAATGAGTGGCTCATTTAAAAAGTCCATGTTGCCCTTAAAGCATGATGGAGCCTCCTTATAGGCTATAATGTCCTGGATGCCTTGCCACATACACCTGGTGTTCATAGGATCCTAAAAAAAGTTCTGAACTTTCTGACAATGAACTTGCTTTGCTGTTTTAATGGCACATTTCAAATTGGCACTGGCTGTTCCAAGCACCAGCATATCGCCAGACTTAAAAGCCACATTCTGTGCTTTCAACATCTTGTGAATCTCATGTGTCATCCATGGTTTTTTAACCCATACCACAATGTTTTTAAGGACACCGACATCCTCAGTGCACTTCTGAATATACAGTATGCAGACACAGTTGTGGCATACTTCTTTACATTAATATGTTGGTTAACTGTAGCAGCTTCTTTAAACATGCCTCAATCCGTGCACTCAAAACAATCTTGTAAAGTTTCTACAGTCCCTCCACTGAAACTATCACTGCTTCATGGTAGGTTTTTCTCTAAGTAATAGAGGCTTATATGCTGGGATAAGCAACACAGAGAGATAGTCAGAAGAACCAAGGTGAGGATGGGGAATAGCTTTGAATGCATTCTTGATATTAGAATAAGCAAGATCCAATGTATTCCCACCTCTGGTTGCAAGGTTCACATATTGATGGAAATGGGGGAGAGTTGCCATAGGCCAAGAGTTTAACCTAGTGTCAGAACTACCAGTAGAAGAACCAACCATTTTCTCCCTTAAGGAGTGGATACATCAACTACAAAACACCTGGCCAGTGGTAAGAAAAGTTCTAAGTGATGCTAGAGCCGCTTTTAAAGCACTAGGAGATAAAAAGAGGATGGAACCCAAACCATTTAAAGTAGGGGATAGAGTATTCTTATACTCTAGATTCCTACAATCCTTGCAACCCTCTAGGTTGGGACCAAAGTTCATAGGATCCTTTCCTATCATTCAAATCATCAACTTGGTAACATTGAACTACTGCTCCCTAAAACCCTCAGGCAAGTCCATCTAGTATTTCGTTGCAGTCTATTAAAACCCCAAATTAACCCCCCACTAAGACCACCAGCAGACATCCCACCTACACATATCATGATTGAGGGTGAGCAACACTTTGAAATTAAGGAAATCCTGGATTCACGCACATACCATGGCACCACACAATACCTAGTTGCTCAGAAACACCTGCCCCCCTCCCAGAATGAGTGGGTGGCTAAAAAACATGTTAGATCCCCCAACTTACTAAGAAAGTTTCATTTACAGTAGCCCGATAAATCCAAAGGATTCACTGCTCTGTTTTCTCTTGTGCTTATTTTTCAGATGAATTTCTCCTATTCCTAGGGATGCAGCATGTCAGGTCCCATATATCCCTATCAGGATGCTGCCATTCTTTCCTCCTCTCTTTCTTCCTCTCTCTGTTGTCTCTCTTCTCTGTCTACTATTTCCTCCTGTTGTTTTATTGCTTCCATCTCTCCTCTTTTCTCCTTCATATTCTCTGAAATATTGATCATAAAATAGTTCTTCTTTTTCAGTTGTATCTATTATATGCCTTTGTTCTTGCTAGGTGACCATTATTCCTTCTGGTATCAGCCATCTGAAATTTATTTCTCTTTTAATCAAACATCTGGTCTTTTTCCTGATGTCTATGTATCCTGTATTTTGATTTACTTTCTTGGTAAGGGGAGAGGGCCAGCTGTTTTGTCTCAATTCCAAAGCCTCCAGCAAGAGATGTCTGGGAACAGCTTCTTAATCACCTTCTCAGCCTGCAATTTTCAAAACAACTTCACACCTGTGGATTGGCTTATTCAACATCGGACTGAGGGGAGGGGTTTCTAACTGCTTTATCCTAACTGAATTGCGCAGGAAATCTCAGATCCTGCTTCTTTTGTCTTGCAATCCCTTTCCTTTCAATGACATATTCCTTTTGAAATGTTAATTGTTTCAAGAGTTCTGCTTTCTTGAGCAGAGAGGAGAGGCAGACCCTGATACCCTGATACCGTTCTTTGCAGCCATATTTCTCTTCCAATTTGTGGTCAGTGATTATTCCAAGATCTTTTCCACAAATGTTATCACAAATGTATGCATTCTACTCCCATCCCCAATCTTATATTGATGTATTTGATTTTATCAAGAAAATGTTTTGTCTGTATGGAATTCTAGCTTGTTTCTCCTGTGGGATTGTTTTTATTTTTTTCTCCTTGTTCTAGGTATTAACTATCCGCTGAATTTTCTATTGTCTACACACCTGATAAACATTCCCTTCATGGATTTATCAAAAGTATTAAGAAAAACATTAATTAGAGGATCTAGGATTGATAACTGCAATGCCCTGTTCAAAAAAATTATCCAATGAGAAATTGGATATAATTTTCCAAGCCATCCATAGGCTGCTATGTAGCTTGCCTCATCGGTACCTTTTCAAATGCCTAGCTGAAATCAGGATATATTATGTCTACAGCATTCATACAATCAGCTACACATTTTACCTCATTATAAAGTGATAAAATCATTCCCGCAAAGTGTTTAGATAAAATTTTCTTTATGTACAATTTTTTTTGCTTTTTTTGAAGATAGGAGGGAATATTTGCTTTTTAGTCATATGATGCTTTAACAGTTCAAGATTTTGTATACATTGAGTTGTAACTGCAGTTGGGACTAGAATTGCTGTCACTGAGTGATATGGTTATAAAGCATAATGTCATGTGATCATAGCAAAGGCAGTCCAGGCAGCCCTAGTTGTTGTAATTCCAGACGTGCAGGTTCGAAAGCGAAAGGATCCCAGGTAAAGAATGTGGAGGTGCCACAGGGAAGTGGGGGAGTTCCTGGGAGACCCAGTGCAGACCACACATGAGTTGGGGAGGAGGTGCTGCAATGTGGTGCAAGCTCAGAAAGGTCAGGAAAATGTGAAGAGTGTGGAATGTGGGAGCATAGGGATGCTGAGCAAAGATAATGTGGGATACATGTCTGTGCAAGAGAGCAATGGGAAATTGGGGAAAGAGGATGTGGAATGTGTACTAGTGCAGGGCAGTCAGGGAAGGAGGGCATGTGGTGCATGCATATATATGAGTACAGGGAGGCCAGAAAAAGAGTGCAATTGTGCTTATGTGTGCAGAGAGACTAAGGAAAGAGAGCATAGGGTGTGAATGTGAAAGCAAGAAGGTTGGGCAAAGAGACTTGGGTGTGTGCGGGTGCAGGGAGGCCAGAGAACAAGGGTTTGGGGTGCTTGTTTGTGTTCCAGCGTAGGGAGTTCCATGTATTCTATTAGTTTAATATGCATTTCTTTTATGTAGCTTTCCAGTGATGAAGCTGTTCAGAAAGTACTTGCTGAAGAAAAAACTGTTAAAGAAAAGACACCTTCATCTAAATCTCAAAACAGAGAATCTAAAACAGAAGAATGTAGATCTCATAAAGAGGTAATTTGAATAACCTGTTGTATTTAAAAAAAATAAACTTATAGGTTTCTATGTAATTAAAAAAAATAAACATATAGGGTTCTATATGTTGAATAAAAAAAACCAGGGAAATTGTTTTATTTCTTTATTTACTGGGTTTCTGTGCTGACCCAATCATAAAAGAAGCTAAGTGATAACTGAGTAAACTCGGGTTAAAACAAAACACGTAAGAAATATAAAGATGGTCCCTGATTTACAACAATAGTTGAGCCCAGAATTACAACTTTAAGTTGTGGCTGTCATTAAGCAAAACACTCATGTGATCATCTCATTGAACGACCACAATCCCTGCTCTCCTGGTCATTGTTAAGCAGAGCCTAGAATCCCTGGGAGTGAGGGAAGCCCTGGGAGGCCACCCCCAGCTCACATATGGCCTAGCTTGAGCCTTCCAGGCCTCTGAGGACCCCCATGTTCTGTTTCCTGCACTATTGGATCCCACAACCTCCCCACACATTACCACTCAGTCCGCTTACCTTTTCCAAAGATTGCCTTTCAGAAAGAGAAGGAGCCAGTAAACTTCTTGGATTGAGAGAATTGTAGCCACTTCTGGGATGGCACCATGGCTCCTCTGTATAGAAAGGCCGTAGGGCAGATTTGGGTAGAACAGCCAGAATTTCACAAAACTCACCTCACTTTTCACCTGCTTTTGCACCCATGGCATTTGCTTTTCTGTTCACATTCCATAGCTCCTGGTCATGACACTCACCTGCAGTACCTGTACCTATCTGCACACCTGCCTGCACTCTAATGCCTGCCTATAGTACCCATTTACCCACCTGTGTTCCATAGTGCCTATCTGTGGCTCTCAACTACCTGTCCATATTCCGGACTGCCTGGTTGCAGCACACACCAAGCTGTTCATTTTCTGTAACATCTCCCTATGGTAGCCGCCTTTCCACCGCTCTCACCTGCAGCTTTCCCCCACTGGCCTGCTTATCTGAGACTCCCACTTCTTCCCAATTAATAACCCATGCAGTCTTGAGATTATGCTAGCAACCAAGAATACTTGGATTGCTGTGATGAAGCGATACAGTCATGTGATATCACATTTTACAATCACATCACTTATTTACAGGAATTATGGTCAAGAACTACCTATAGTGAATCCCAAATCTATCCTAATCCATAAAGGGTTTTAAGGGCGACGGCTTACATTTTGAATTGCTCAAACATTTTGTATGTAATTTAATATTTTGTATTTTATTATTTAGGGAAGAAGTGACTCTGAAATAAAAGACAAAAGCACAATTCAGGACCAAAAAGTTAAAGAAGAATTGAAAGGGGAAGAAACCAAGCAAAGAGAAAGTGAAAAACATAAAGATTATGAAAATCATCCCAATAATTTTGATAAAACTGTTAATGAAAATGAAAAACATGAAAAAGAGAGACTCAAGAATAGATTGTCCAAATCAGGAAGAGAGCCAGAGAAAATTAGAGACAAAGAAAAAGGAGAAGGGGAAGGAGAAAAAGAAGAATATGATAAAGAAAGAGACAAGGAAAAGAAACAATATGAGGGAGGAAGAGAAAAAGAGAGATTACGAGAAAAAGATAAACCTAAAGACAGGGATAAAGATTGTGAGAAAGTCCGAGACAGGGGTAAAGAAAAAGACAAAAGGCGGGAAAAAGGTAAAGATATAGAAACAACACGAGAAGAAAGAAAAGACAAAACAGACAAAAAGGTAACGTGTGACTAATTAATGATAATTGAAATTAACAGACATTTTGAGCAAATTGATATAAAGATGCATGTATCTTAAGAGTCACTTTAAGTGAAATGGTAGTGTAAAAATTAAATAATTACTCAAAAATTTTACATCATTTAAGTTATTCAAAATATGAACAGTCAAATGCATACAGATGCATTTCTAAACATTAATTTTAACAAATTCTATGGCAATTCTTTTGAAAGACAAAACAGTTGTAGACTAGCTATAATTTCTTTTTAAGCGTTTTTTCTTATAAAATACATGATTCGGTCATTCTCTTATGATCAAAAGTTCTAAATACATTGTTTATGTCATGTAAATAATAAATATCATAAAAGTCTTAGAATAACTAGTATTTTACTTTTTAAACATAGCAATATTGTGATATCTAGTACATCAAATAAACAATGAAAGCTCTGAATGTACTTAACTCTAAGACTGATGCAATCAAGTTAGCCAGTAGTTCTCATTGATTTCCCTGGGAAATTTCTAAATTGTTCCAGATGAATATAATGGTTTATTTGGTTAGATCTTGTTCTAGTAATGTGATATAATTGAGTATGGTCTTACATTATAGGTAGTTCTCAACTTACAACAGTTCATTTAGTGACCATTCAAAGTGACAACAGCACTGAAAAACCATTTTTCACATGTATGATTGTTACAGCATCTCCATGTTCATGGGATTTACATTCAGATCCTTGACAACTAACTCATATTTATTATGGTTGCAGTGTCCCAGGGTCATGTGATCCCCTTTTGCAACTTTTTGACAAGCACTAATTTAAGAACTACAGTGGTTCACTTAACAAATATGGTGAGAAAAGTTATAAAGTGAGGCAAAACTCACTTAACAAATTTCTCACAGCAACATAAATTTGGGGCTTAATTGTGGTTGTAAATTGAGGATTGCCTGTATTGATTTGTAATAAACATGTGACACCTTTGAAGAAATCCGTTCAGATTACTGAATAACCATTTTAGTTGTAATATGAAATATAGTCACTGAGTATCAGTGAAATTTCTATGACCATCAAGAATTTGTTAGGTTAATACATGGACTAACTTATATGAATCTGAAATCCATTGTGTTCATTAATAATGGTGTTTGTTGATTCAGACTTAGAGAGCAAAATTGCATATATGTATAGTATTGCTTATTGCTGTGGATTGTAAATAAACATGAATTATATAAAAAAGAAGAAAACTATAAAAAGATAATATAGGTAGTCTTTACCTTATTGTTAATTGAGCAACTGTTCAACGTTACAGTGGTGCTAAATGAACGGTGGTTAGGACTACAGTTCTTGGAGTTCTGGCCACCCATACACCCCCTTGGATATCAGACCACAATCTAGGAGCTTGGCTTGCACTTGCAAAACATTTGTAGCATCCCATGATCTGTTGATTGCCACCTGCAACCTTTCCTGCCAGCTTCCCAGGAAAGTCAGTGGCAGGGAAGGTTGCAAGTCACTGAGGCAAGTCTCTCTCTCCTGTGCACCTTCTCCTGCCCTTCTGCACTGAAGCTCCATTGGCTACTTCATGTACCCCCACATACCCTCCCTGAGCCTTGCCATGGCTCCCTCATTCACCCCCTCACATCCCTATGTGCCCTTCCTTAACCCTTGCTGTGCCTCGTTATTGTTTGCATTTTATGACTGCATTGCTTAACAGAAGTTCCAGTCTCAACTGCCATCATGAATTGAGGACTACTTGTAAAAGTCTGTTAATGATTCTAAACATTTTATTAAAAAATATCTTTCCTTAGCCCACAGGATCTGAAGAGAATATTTCTAAAAAACTAGCAGAGAAGTCTATAAATAAAGATCAAACTGAATTTGATAAAGAAGTAAGTGACAGAAAATATTCATTTTACAGGTTACTGTTACCCTCCACAGACAAGTAACAATAAGCATGTGTGGCTTATAGTTTGAAACATGTATGTCAAAAAATACTAAAAAGGCAAAGATTGGTTGTGAAGTTACTTTTTCATTGCCAGTATAACTGCAAATACTTGCTAAACTATGCAGTTGCCAAATGAGAAATCCCTGTAACATAAAATTAGAGGTTTATTGTTTTGTATATAGGAATCTGCCTTTTCTATATCTAGTTTATCTCTTGAATACAAATCTGTAAATTGTGGCTTTTGCAAAAGCAAGCAATTAAACCAACATGCATGAAAGAGAACAAAAGACCTCAGAAGGATTTTGTGAACCCTGTTGAATTTGCAATATTTCTGCATAAATTTGATCTAAAATGCGATCTGTTCTCTACACTTGATAAAAGTGGAAAACGAGAACTCAATTAAATAAATGAAACTAAAACATTATGCTTATTCATTTATCAATTAAGGAAAACAATCCTCAGTTGGTTAAGCAAAACATATTTCTCATTTTCCTATGCTGGAATGATCATATTGTTTTTCTGCCTTCTGAACTTTGCTTAGATTATAGAAAATAGAGAGAGCTTTAAGAAATCAACACTTCCCAGTTTGAATTTCCTCCAATTTTATCCAAATTGTAATAAGAGTACCATACTAGAGACTCCGTTCCCCTTGTAACTTGCTTGTTTAAATCTGAGTATCTATGATAAAAATGGAAAATGGAAAAAAATAATATGCTAAAATGCATGAATGCTCCGTGTGTGTGTGTGTGAACACACGCACACACAGACCTAGACAAATATACATACACTACTTGCTTTTATGTACATTTTTAAGAATGAAAATTCTGCAAGATTATCGAAGCAGCATGCAACAAAAGGACCAAAACAGCGAAACAAAACTTCAACTGAAGGTAATTAAAAGAAACCTCCTTGATTTATTACTTCTTGAGAATTTTTAAATGTTCTAAAAGACAGAGATATTCTTTACCTCAAGTTGGCTCTTCCTTTTGGAGCCAGTTATGTTTTTGATTCTTCAGAATGAAAAGGCAATTCTGATCCTGACTAGTTCTATTTAGAGGCTGAATAGTTAGAGCTTCTAAGAGACCAACTCATTTGTATTTTATACGCATTTATTTTCTTTTTCTCCCTTTCTATCTCTGTCCTATCTCCCTCTTTTGCTCTGTGGAGTCTTTGGGGCCTTTTCTGATTAGTTGTTTACTGAACAAGATAACATCTTTAGTACTAGAAGGGAGTGGGATTTGCTCTCTGTTTATACACAATACAGGTAGTCTTTGACTTACAACAGGCCACTCTTAGCAACCATTCAAAGTTACAACAGACTTCCCCAAAGTTGCAACCCAGTTTCAAAATTATGATGGCTGCAGCACCCCCACAGTTATTTGCTCTTTTATTTATTTGTTTGTTTGTTTATTTAGTCAAGCGATTATAAGATTACAGGTATAAGTATAGACATAGTTATGAGTACATGAAATGGATACGTATAAGAAAAATAAAAAGAAACAATAGGACAGGGACGGTAGGCACATTGGTGCTTTTATGCACGCCCCCTACAGACCTCTTAGGAAAGGGGTGAGGTCAACAGTAGACAGTCTAAGGTTAAAGTTTTTGGGGTTTGGGGAAGAAACCACAGAGTCAGATAGAGTATTCCAGACATTGACCACTTTGTTGCTGAAGTCGTATTTCCTGCAATCAAGTTTGGTGCGGTTTACCTTGAGTTTGTATCTATTGTGTGCTCTTGTATTGTTATGGTTGAAGCTGAAGTATTCATTGACAGGTAGGACATTGCAATGTATGATTTTATGTACTATACTTAGATTGGACCGAAGGCGGCATAGTTCTAGGTTTTCTAGGTCTAGAATTTCAAGTCTGGTGACATAAGGTATTCTGCTACGAGTAGAGGAGTGGAGAACTCTTCTTGTGAAATATTTCTGGACTTTCTCAACTGTATTAATATCAGATACGTAATGTGGGTTCCTAGATTGATGAGCTGTATTCAAGTATTGGTCTAGCAAATGTTTTGTATGCTCTAGTTAGTAGTGTAATATTACCAGAGAAAAAGCTATGTGGGATTAGGTTAACAACTCTTAATGCCTTTTTGGCTATTTAGTTACAGTGGGCTCTAGCACTTAGATCATTAGAGATGAGAACTCCAAGGTCCTTGACAGAGTTTGGATCATCAACAAGGTCTTGACTATTCAGCTTGTATTTTATTTTCTGATATTTTTTGCCAATATGTAAGACAGAGCATTTATTTGTTGATATTTGAAGTTGCCATTTGTTTGACCATTCTGATACATAATTGAGGTCTTTTGGAAGAGTAGCAGTATTGTCGGTGGTGTTGAATAGCTTTACATCATCAGCAAAGAGAACGCAGTTGCTCTTAATATGATAACAGAGGTCATTTATGTAGAGTATGAAGAGAGTTGGTTCTAGAACACTGCTTTGAGGCACACCACTGTTGACAGGTACAGAATTTGATAGGACGCTCCCAATTTTGACCATTTGTTGTCTGTTTTGACAGGAATGCTTCTATCCAGTTATGTAGGTGTCCAGAGATACCATAAGATTTTAGTTTTAGGAGTAGTTTGTCATGTACTACTGAATCAAAGGCTTTACAGAAGTCTATGTAAATTGCGTCTATTGCTTTGCCCTGATTAAGTTGTGTAATCCAGTGATCCCCAACCTTTTTGACGCCGCGGCCCGGTACCGGCATCAGCTGGGCGCCGCGGCCCGGTACCGGCATCAGAAATGGCTTTCTACCCGGAAAAGCTCACCGGAAGCACTGGCGCCGCCATCTTTTTTTGATGAAAACGTGCTTCCGGTGAGCTTTCTACCCGGAAAAGCTCACCGGAAGCACTTTTTCATGAAAAAAAAGATGGCGGCGCCCAGCAAGCCGCGGTCCGGTAGGAGTTGTTCCGCGGACCAGTACCGGTCCGCGGACCGGTGGTTGGGGACCCCTGGTGTAATCCATGTGTTTTTGCAGTGTAAGAGTTGCAGATTACAGGATAGTTTTTTTCTGAAACCAAATTGTTTATTAAAGAGTAGGATGTTTGTCTCTAAGTGGAGGAGCGCTTATGCTTATGGTTAATAATCGATTCTTAAGATGGACTGCAGGATGCTGCAGTGTTCATCCACACCCTGCTGGGTGTCATGCCTGTGTCAGAGTCTGAATCTGAAGAGGAAGCCGGACAGCTGACAGGGAATGGGAGTGTGGCTCCTCTGGCTGTGGAGGAGGCTGGGGAAGGGGAAAGTCTGGCTGGGCAGAGCAGGAGAAGATAGAACAAGAGAGAGGGAGTTCAGAGGAAGAACCAGGCCACCCTCTTTTCATCCTAGAGCACTCAGGGAGGAATGAAGAAGAGAGCAACATGGGTTGTGTGGCTTATGGGGGAGGAAAGGGCCCTGATTCCTTTTATTAGCCACAGCTGGGAAGACAGTTGATAAGAAAGAAGGTTCTATTCCTGATACTGTAGAGCACAGGTGTCAAACTCGCAGCGTCATGTTGCCATCATGTGACGTTTTGTGGCGTTTTTCCCCTTCACGGAGCTGAGGTGGGCATGGTCTATGTATGATGCATTTGATCCACAGGCCACCAGTTTGACAGCCCTGATATAGAGCCTTTTTTCCTCAAGGAGCCTTCATTTTTTTTAAGGAGGTTCTGTTTATTTCCACAGTTTATGGAATTTAAAAAATGGAGGCTCCTTGAAAAATCCTCTCAGTATTAAGATAATAGAACATGTTGCAAAATAGAAGGAGTTTGCCATGAGACTGGCTCTGTAAGGAACTGATCTTACAGGGCCAGGTGCCTCAGAAGCTGAAAAAAAGCAAAAGATAAATTGGGCTCTGCAACAGGCTTGAGTACTGAAAGTCCTTGGGTGGGATCTCTCCTTCCAAGCTGCAGTTTCCAAGCTCTGTTTGTCCTGATCTCTCCTTCTAGGCTGGAGTTTGTAAACTCTGTGTATTGCAATCTACCTTTGATTGCTAGGTTGGAAGGAAGCTGAAGGACTACAGGTAACCCTGTGAAAAATGGAACACAGGGTGCCTCAGGGAGTGGAAATAGTCTTGGGAGGTTGAGGCAGGCAACTGTGTGCCTGTGTAGGCCTTGTGAGGGCTTCCTCCTGAGGCACCCTGTGCTCTGTTGAACAACTCTCCCATTCATTTAAAGTTTGCATCAGGGAAGACAAGGAATGGGGTTGTTAATTGAGGGTCATTTCACCTAATGACTGTCATGACATGTGATCAGAATGGGCAGAATCCATTATAGTCATCTCAAGGACTACCTGTAATTTCCTCTGACAGACTTGACAGGTGTATTGTTTTCTCCCAGGTAGTTCCTTGATTGTCTTAAGTTGTTAATTCCTTGATTGGGGTATAGCATATTGCTTGATTGTTTATCTGATATTAATCCTGGTGTTAAACTCTGTTAGTGGCTGATTTGTCCGAGTGCCAAGCTTCCAGGAATTCTCTAGCATTTTTTGGATTTAGCTTTGTCTATGGATAATAACAGTTTTCCAGTTGAAATGATGGTTAATCTATCCATGTGCTGTGAAATTAAGGAATTTTCATCATGTCTTCTGCTTACTAATTGATGTTCATGGATTCACTTTATTAATCTTCTCCTTATCAGCCCTACATAGTGGCTGTTACAGTCTTTACAGGTAGTCCTCAATATATGATCCTAATAGAGCCTGCCCATTATGGTCATATTCTTTTTTTTTTTTTTTTTAAACAAGTTTTATTAATTTTCAAAACACACAAGTCATCATTTTCCATTACATGTTTAAACCTTTTTCCATTATAAATTTAACAAGTCAGGTAAACTATAATTCTATTTTAAACCATTTCCATGTAAACATACAAAAACCTCTTATCCAATTTCCCTTTATTTCTCTTCACTCTTATTCAATTTTATTATTATTATTTCATCTACTTCTTTCTGACTTAGTTACCATTATTCTCATTCTATATTTCTACAAGGTTTTATTAATTTCCCCCCCAAAAAAACAACATAATCACACAACACACAAAACATATAAAAGATCTTTTTGGAAAGTAACTTGGACCCAGGTATCTCTCTTTTCATGGACTTCAATTATATTCAGGCTCATCTTACATATCATTACTTATTTTATTTACCATTCTAAGTCTTCTATATTAACTTCTCCACATATTTCACTCTTCTTGATTCTATCTTAATCATCTTAATTTGAGTCATTATATTTATATCTTTTGTCCATTCTCTATTATACCTTTGTCTCATTCCTTTTAAAAAGAAAGAAATTTCTCCTGAAATCACTAATCAGAGTATGATGCCTTTCTATCTCCCCACTAAATTAATCAAATTAATCTTTAAAATACCCAATCCGATTTTGCTTGGTACATTCTAACTGAATAATACATCTAAAACAATTAAATACATAGTTAAGCAATAGATTTTAATATTAAAAACAAAATACTATAATGAAACTTTTATAATAACATCAATACCATAATCTTAATAAACTCTTTAATTAAAGTTTAATATTCTAAATCTCCCTTCATATTATATTTTCAAACCAATCATTATTAACATTCCAACATTTTAATCTCTTATCAACTCTCAAGCCATTTAAATTTTCTATTTCTGATACAATACTACAATATCATCTTATGTACCTTGCAAAATCTCTTTGAAGAAATTATGCTTATCCTTTATCCCTAAAAAAAATTTCTTTTTTCTCATTTAATTTCAAAACTTTGTAACTTTTCTCCACCTTTTCCCTTTCTTTCTTCCCCCGACAAACCTTTCTAGCCCCCCTTCTAGCCCCCCTTCTTCTAGCCTCTGCCTTACTGGCTTCCCTTCTCTGTCGCATTCCTCTTCCCTTTTGTTTACCATCCTTATATTGATTTGCAC